AAACAACTTCTGTATAGCGTCTGATTGACTTTGTATTCGCAGTCTGTCTCGGTCCATTAAGCAGTCCCAAGTCAATATTACAAACTTTCCAAAGATGAATCGGGTACGTGGTACATTTGGAAATGATCATGCAGACAATGGACTCCTGACCAGTTGCGTTCCTCTAAGTCGTCCTACCAACATGACCAAGTTGCGAAAACAAGTAATAAGAATTAGAATACATGCATTTAAGTGTATGTGTGTGTGTGCTAACTTGTGGGCAAGTTTACGTCAGGGTACAAAATATCAGCCGTAATTCATACTGCTTTCAAGAGTTTTCTTGACTCGTTAGCTTGAATATGGTTGTCAGGATGACATCCTGCTTTGATGATTTTCGTCATACGACGCACGAAGGCTGAGCACGTTTTCCTCGGAATCGAAGCGGACTGCCTCGGAAACAGTGTCGACAAGAAAGTTGCAGTAAAGCCGCCGTCGCCGTCGCCGTCTTCACCGAACACTTTCACTCGAAAAGGAAGTAAGCTCAACAATTATGAAACAAGAGGTTACTCTAAGCCCAACTTTTTTTCTCATTTACTACTTACAAAAGAGCATAACATCACACCCGGGCAATCCAGGCTTACTAACCCAACAAAAGGCATGACTGAACTTGAGTTTGTTCGAAAGCATCTCTTCCTTCTTCCTTTTTACTCTCTGCCCACTCGCCTTAAGGCATTCTGCATCCAACAGACTCGAAATCCTCTGCCGCAAGGTTGAGCCAGGCAATAGATGGACTAGGTATGAATACCAAGAGGGTGTGGCCTTTTGTGTGGTCGCAGTCTCGTTTCGCTGTATACAAGTTTTCGCAACTTGGTCATGTTGGTAGGACGACTTAGAGGAACGCACTTTGTCCGGAGTCATCATTTCCAGAGTATGACGTTTCACCGGCATCGTCAGTGAGTCTGGCCATTCTTAGCACCATTCAACAACATTCGTCAAAGAGACCAGTTGGATTAGTTTAAGTCGAAGTCTGGTGAGAGGCATTTTGAAGCGACACGAAACGGGTGGACCGAGGGGTGCATTGTGTAGCGACTGGATTTACGAAGAGTCTCATACAAGTCAGTCATTATTCCCACGAACATGAGAGTCGAGAAAGGGAAAACCGGTTCATCGGTTCATCGGCGGCAGACACACCTCGTCTCCAAGTAAGTAGTACCCGTCGCCGTCCCATACATATTCTCTTCTCCTTTTGCCTACAGGCCGGCAGAATCTGGCTCATTCAGGACTCAGAACGCACATATACACCCAAATACCCAGCTTATATATATATATACATATACATATATATACATATATATATATATGTATACAATTACACACCAACAGACATAAAAGTAGCTAAACACACACACACACAAATTTACTTATTTATTTATATACTCGAACACATAAAGACATCAACCCAAATACACAAGTACGTACACACATACATTTGGGTTTATATGCCGGCACACAAGCAAACACCAAACTGACGATTTATTAGCTCAGACCTCCCTTTCAAGTGCGGCCGTCCGGTGACATGCTCCTTTGGGACTCAGCCCTCGGCGTCAACGAATGGAGTAATGCGGCGCCGAGATGGCAGGCCGTCGCCAGGAGAGAGCAGTCTGAAAAAGCAGCGCCAGTCGGAAGAGGCATCAGGGCTCTGTGGACGGTGTTTGAGGGTGAAGTCACGCCTTGAGATGGATGGTGGAAAAAACGCACGAAACCTCGACATTCCCATTCATAGTTCGACTCCTTCTGAGAGGATCAAACATGTATCCTCATGCTGGACGGTCGAGACCTGGCAGCGCCTCCGGATTAAATTGAAATCCGCGCCCCATCACGACCCAATTTTCAGGTAGCCTCGACGACGAGGCCAGCTCGATGAGGTGCGAGTCCCGTGGCAGGGTCACAAAAGTTGTCTCACTCCCCCCGTCGGTACCATCAACATTCAGTGCGCCCACTGAAATACACTGAAGGAATAGGCTTCGAGAGAATCAGTAGCTCTTGACGACGAGCTCGAGCTTCGCATGAGGAGACCTAGGCGAGGTGGGAATCACAGTCGAGGCAGGGTTATGTGACTTTTTATGGCACGTTGCATCAAACGTAAAGTAGAAATCGCTAATTCATTTGAAGCGATAGAGGCTGACTCAAGAACTTATTTGAGCTCTGCCGACTGTTTCAAAGCAAACACTTCTGGTAGATACGAAGAGAAACTGGGTTTCCTTGGCGGACTGAGAGGTCAGGACAAGTGGTTTCGTAACTCGACTTTCATGCTTACAAGCTCATATCTCATCATTTCAACCATACCTGCCTACGGATTTACATAGTCTCTCTCTTTGGTCATTAGGGCTTGATGATCAGAGCCTGACATAAGCCTTTTGATGACTCTGATTTAGGACCGGTATTGCGTATAGACGCTAACACACACACACACACGCATACACACGCGCACACACTCAAGCAAAAGCGGTATGAAAGATAATTAGCCATACCACTCTATTTCTCGCAATTACTGGTAGTCTCGAAACAACACGTAAATGCGAAAAATAAAGTAACGCAGTCGATTGTTATAGCAAAAATACGTTTGCTTAATCGACAATCCCACCAAAAGAATATGATATGAAATTCACATCTGCCCTGTGACCCAAGGGCACTCGTGGCAATGTGGTAGGGTGGTTAAAGTTTCAAGCTCCCAGTCTGCACTGTCAAGGTTCGAATCCCGCTGGGGGTGTTGATAAGACCGAGGCGAGGTCGAAACTGCAGGCCACTCCAGCCGGAATGAGAACAACTTTTGGGAAAGCAAGGTTATGTGAAATGCAATGGAAACGTCAGCTCTATTTATATGATTGTGGGAAAATTCTACTACCAGTCCTTCATCATCTTGAACGAAATTGGGTGAATAAATCTCACACTCTATTTCTATCAAAATTTTTACTCTTATTTTGCTTAATTGAATCTATTTAAGAGGTAAAATAGAGCCGAATAGTCTTCTTTCCCTCGTCTTAACTTGGGACTTTTACAAGATGATGTCCATCGAATGATGGACGAAAGCTCAGCACGTTTTCATCCGAAACGAGGGAGGAGGTCTCGTGGACTGTGTCAACCGGAACGTCGTATAAAAGCCAAACGGCTGCAGTACAACGCGATTCAATCGTCCTCTTCTGATGAGATCGACCTACGAATCTCTTCTCCATGCACTTTCATACGAAATGCAAGTCCCCTCAACAAACACTCTTTGTGTGTAAAGTGCGTTCAACGCTTGTAATTGCAGATTCAAGTTTCCGCAATCCCACTGGATTTCCTTGTTGATACTATCGCCAATTACCGCTTAACTACTTGTCCAGACAATATACTATTCACTCGAATACATGAAGATCAAGGTGGTGTGGCTTTTGGTATGATGGCCGTCTCGTTTCGATGTGTATGAGTGGGCTGACCGCGTTTCCTCAACTTGATTCTGTTACAAATTGCAAAAAATGTCTTATATGCATCACATTGCATTGTAGGCCACGTCTGATATGCATTTGTCGATAGCCGATAATATGTGGAACCGGTTGAGAAGTGTAATGAAATGATAAATAATTGGAGATAAGACCATATGAACTCACAAATTGTATGCATCTCCTGGGCTACTTTTGAATTAATAATCCATTTAGAATTTACACACAAATGATGTTTGTAGTGACAATCGAGACATTCAACATTCAGTCCTTGTATCACCCAAAACGACCCAGCTCGATACGTGGGCCTATTCAAGATGAGGATAGTTACGAAAAATACATATTCCATAAATAGTATTGGCGTCAAAGAGACGAGGGAAGTCAATTCTTCGACCAATGTTGGATTACCTTTGAGTTCATTTGAAGAGTCAAGTGAAACGGATTCGTAAATTGACACTTAAAATGAACTATAAGGTACTTCAACTTGACTATCATAAGGAATTCTATGAAACACAGTTATACTACAATCTCTAGACCGGCCTCCTGCCAACTGCTATGCTATGGCGGAAAGTTGGTCAAAGGATTAACTTCACTCGTCTTTTGATAAAGTTTAG